TACGTAATTTTTACATGATTATGTTTTTGACAAAAAAAAAAAATCATTCCTTTCGTCTTTTTCCTGCTTTTCCGATTTGCTTTATCTCTTCTCGGATTTCTCTCTGCTGGGAAAGCAACAGTTTCGTACAAATTTCATTATTGCTTTTTACCCTCCGTCTCTTTTTCTCTCTCTCTCTCCGAAACAGTCCGTTGACCGAACTCTATGATCTGTTTGGTTACTGTGAAAGCGGATAAAAAAAAGAAAGAAAGAAAAATATTCTACATAACATTCCAAGCTGTCAAGAGTATGTCTTTCTGGGTTTCTTAAGATTCCTGTACCGTGTCTTTGTGAGCAACCTTATCAAAATTGGGTTTCTCTGAGTTTGTTTTGTTCGTGCTACTGGTTTCCAGTTAAACTGAGGAGAAGGCAAGATTTTGGAAAGTCTCATTCTTCTTCTTGTTTTTGCATCTCTATGCACTACTTGTTGGGCTGTGTCTTTGGAAATTCGTTTCGCCGTAGTTTTGTTTTGTTTTGCTTTATTAAGAATTCACATGGGTTTTAGGTGACATGTATTTATTTTTCGTAAATTATTGAATGATGGTGGGTTCGGCATAGGAGGAAAAGACAATGAGAAATTCATGGTTAATCCCCTTGGGTTTTTGGGTCTGAATCTCATAGTCACTGAATACAGGGCAGATTTTCTGTTTTTTTCTGTCTTCATTGGCTTCTATTTTGTAAGGTCTTTATGTGACTCAAATTGCTGAAAATCTTACCACTTGGTTTGTATCACTGTGAGTCCTCATGAAGGGCAAAGGATCAGGACAGCCTTTTTAAGTATATTCTATTCCTTGTTCACATGGAATTGTTTTTTTTAATGCATTTCAGTTTCTTTACATGCAGCCATTTTTGCATTCTGTGTAACCAGAGACTAAACAATTCATTAACTAATGTCTTCTCGTTTTCCTCAGCTGGTTTTGCTATCGAACCACGGAATACATTTGACCAAGATAAAATGACCTCATTTTTCTATATGGACTTGTAAAGTGGCTTGTGGTTTGATGTGTTGGAATCTTTGGTATTTGGATAGTCTATTGCTCGGTTGACCATTTGAGCAAACTCAGAATTTCATGTGAGATCTGTTTGGCAAAAGGAGGAATTTTATCCTTTACTACTTCAGATGTCTTCTTTGTGGAGCTGAGCAGATGGGGGCTTGCGTTTCGACTAGTAGTCGGAGTACTCGTAGTAGCAGGAGCAATGGAGAGACAGTTGCTCACTCATTCTTGGGGATTGGATTTTGTGGGCAAAAGAGAACGAAGAAGACATTCTCTGACCATGTATATACTCTCCAGACTTTACACTCCATTCCCAACCGCATTTTTACCAATGGGAAGAGCCGAGCTTCTTGCATATTTACACAGCAGGGTCGCAAAGGCATAAACCAGGATGCCATGGTTGTGTGGGAAGTAAGTTTCTTCTGTACAGTGGGAATAATACTTGAACATGTTGGTAGGATAATTTCTGAACTCTTGATTTTTTTTTCTTTTGAAGGATTTCATGTCAGAAGATGCGATATTTTGTGGCGTGTTTGATGGCCATGGTCCACATGGTCATCTTGTTGCACGCAAAGTGAGGGATGCATTGCCAGTAAAGCTGCTATCCTTCTTGCATTCTTATCAATCAAGGTTAAATGGGTCCAGTAAAACATGTTTCAAAGGGAACCTAAAGAGATCAGATGGTGGAGATTCTGAGAAGGATGCTTCAGCTGAGGAAAAATTAAATGTAACATGGAGAGAGGCTTTCCTGAAGTCATACAAGGCCATGGACAAGGAGCTGAGGTCCCATCCTAATTTGGACTGCTTCTGCAGTGGTAGCACTGCTGTCACTCTAGTCAAACAGGTATGGCAGCAAGCACCTTCTATGCTCTTCTTTATTTTCCATTTAGTTTGCTCTGTTATTGATTGATCCTCTTTCCAGGGTTCAAATCTTTTCATGGGTTATATTGGGGATTCCCGAGCAATCCTGGGATCAAAGGACAGTAGGGATTCCATGGTGGCAATCCAATTAACTGTTGATTTAAAGCCTGATCTGCCAAGTATGAGTGATATTATTATCGTTTTTTCATCAATGTTTTGGCTGCCTGCTTGTTGTATGAACCTTACTTGGTTGATGCATTGTAAATGTCATAGGGGAAGCTGAAAGAATTAAACGGTGCAAGGGTAGGGTATTTGCTTTGCAAGATGAGCCTGAAGTGTCTCGAGTATGGTTGCCGTTTGATGATGCCCCTGGGTTAGCAATGGCTCGAGCCTTTGGTGATTTCTGTTTAAAAGATTATGGAGTGATCTCTATACCAGAGTTCTCACACCGGATACTTACTGAGAGAGATCAGTTCATCGTTCTTGCCTCAGATGGGGTAAAACTTTCAGCTTTGAAAACCTCATTTTTTTATTAGCTGATCCCGTATGGACCGTGTCTTATAAACTGCAAAGTAAATTACTTAAAAAAGTAACATAATAATCATACAACAACGAGGAAAATCCGTTTGTTGCGCAAGACAGCTGCCAGGAACCAACTATGAAGTGATTGAACTACAAACAATTTGGATAATCACCAAACATGATAGTGGAATAGACGATAGATCTCATGAGATGTAAATACCAGTAAGAAAGTCCTGAGCATCTGGATTCTTAAAACATCAGCGACAAACGAGTGCTAAGATCTGGCATGATCTTGCTACTTGAATGTGTACTTTATAGTTAAATGAGGGCTGCATTATCTTCTATACCTTCCACTCAAGCAGGCCATGAAAATGGGAAGTTTGCTCTGCTTATTAATGTCCTGTTTCTCTGTTGGTCCAATGGGAACTGTAAGCCCCTCAGAGTTATACAGAAACCCAGGAAAACCAGAGATAGCATGATTGACATTTAAATGACTGCTGCAGGGCTAGTGGTGGCACTTGGCTATTGATATATTGAATCACTCAAATTTTTCCAGTCAGCAGTTTTTAACTCCATGTTTTTTTAGGAGATAGTGATATGTATATTTATGTTTTGTTGAATCCCTCCATTAAATTTTTTTCCCTCTTTTCTTTTTATTATATTTCTGAAATGTCCATAAGAAGTAGAACTGGGTCTTTTACATGCAAATTTGTTACATTCTTTCAGAGAATATGATTTTTCTTAGAGATGAATGGGTCTTTAGGGAGACTTTGATGGAGAACCCGAAAAATATTTTAAACCTATAACCTTGTTATGCATTTACTTTTAGGCTCTGCGACTTGTAAGAAAGCGTAAAGGGGCATTAGATGTTAAAGAATTTTAATTTGTAAATGTTACAGGTTTGGGATGTCTTAAGCAATGAAGAGGTTGTTGAGATAGTGTCCTCATCCCCGAGCCGGGCATCAGCAGCAAGGATTGTGGTTGACTCAGCTGCTCGTGAATGGAAACTCAAATACCCGACTTCAAAGATGGATGACTGTGCAGTCGTTTGCTTGTTTTTGGATGGGAAAATGGACTCTGAATCTGATTATGAGGAACAAGGCTTTTCATCTGCAACACTTCAGAGCAATCACTCCGGAAATGCAGTTGAATCAGATGATGGCCAGAAGTCAGAGCCATCTCTGCAGAGGAATTTCACAGTAAGATCATCTGATGAAAGCGATACTTATGGACGACTACCAGTTGAGATTGAAGGGAATGAAGAAACAATGGCAGCTGAAGACCAGAACTGGTCAGGTTTGGAAGGTGTCACGCGTGTGAACTCCCTTGTTCAACTTCCAAGATTTTCAGAGGAAAGGCCTTAGATTTTGTGATTCAAGTATAAATGAAATGGGCTAGCGTTTGTTGTACTATGGGATATTTTTTTGCCTCTTTAAAATCCAAACGAAAGATAATCTTTCTGGATTGCCATTTCCTCAGCATTTTGTTGGAGGAACAAAAAGTCAGGGAACAATTCTCTTCAGGTAACTGAGGCAATATAGCTATCTCCGTCTTTCCAAGTTTTATGTAAATTGTTTAGTCAAGTTCCAATTTAGTCACACCCCACGCTTTACCAAGTTGAATAGTCTACTAAAGCTGTTGCTGCCTAGAACAAGATACGCATCCTGAATGAAGCTATATAATTGTGGGTTAGGCAAAACAATTTTCAGACAATGTGAAGTTAATTGTGAACAAGATTTAGCTAGAACTATATTAGGGAGGCTAGAATGAGGGTTATAATGAAGGGTTTTTTTTTAATGTAAAGTTATTATTGGACGATCCAGTGCAAAATTATTATTGGACTGTTGAATTGAAACCCCTCATTGATACCCCTCATTGATGCTTCCGAACTATATCCAGCGGTATTCGGTGGGCTGAAGATGGATAATTGGTAAAGGAAAACTACTGGTACCAGAAACACATTTTTTTCCTCTCTCTAAATGGATGGCTTTAACTCTCTGGATTTATGTGGTAAGAAAAACAAAAAACAAAAAAAGAAGAAAGAACGAGAGTCAATAAAATGGCAGGTGAACAATAAGTCAGTGGAAATTGGAATGTGGAACCCATATTAAATAACTTGTCAGGGTGGCGAAACCCAAACCAGAAAGAAAATTAAAAAAAAAGCACTTGTGCAAAATATGGAATGAAGCCATAAATTTGAGAATCTACATTGCAGGTACCTTTATAGCTGGAAGTGCACATCTTTTAAAGTTCGCAGCAGTAAAATAATTAGCATTCACAATAAGGTCTTCTCCACAAGAGCTCAGGTGACCAAATAGTAAAGAAGATGAAGGCCCAGAAAGGAACCAGAAATTAATAGTAAACTACTCTCATTCACATTCACAGAGGAATGCGATGACAGAGTTGCACATCTAACAAACCAGTAGCATATAATGCCTGCATTAATGGCCGCAAGAGTTGCTGGTGCATATAGGTCGATTTTAATAGCTATGAAGTACACGCCAAGACAAGACCCCACTGTCTTTTTTATCCTTCAAGTGCATCAAAATTATCGAACTAGAAGAAACCCAACTCATCACTCTTTTTTTTTTTTGCCTGTCTCTCTCCATGCACGTATGCATTTGGATATCTCTTCTCTGTCTATCCATGGCTTCTAGAGGCGCACAGTCTCTTAACTCACCGCCAAATGTTCACCCAACTTGCTAAAAATCCTCAACTATAAGAAGAGCCCTTCTTTTCCTACATTCTCCAACACCAAACCAACTTCAGCAAGAGCAATCTTCTCCTCTCTTACTCTCTCTCTGTTTGTGTAACATTTCTCTGATAATGGCTGACACAACCCGTTCTTCATTTCTGCCTCTCATCTCCATTCTTGTTGTCCTTCTTGCAATAACAGGGCAAGCAGTGGCAGGACGAAGTGTCCCAACCAAAGATGACAAGAAACAACCTGAGTGGTTTATTGGCCATGATGGCAGCTATCTCATTCCAGGCATTGGGCGTGTGATATTCCCACCACTGCATAATGTTGTACCTCAGACTCCATTCCCCGACAACGGCAGCACCGGCAGCACCGGCAGCACAGGCAGCACCGGTGGAAGTGGAAGTGGAGAAGCGCCAAGTACTGGTCATGACTATGTTCCCGGTGGCGACGATACATTCGTCCCAAACCCGGGTTATGAGGTTCCAACCCCTGGCAATGGTGCTGGGAATGCCCCAGCAACCCCCACCAGTCCCTGAATTTGTTTGAGCATGAGGAGCTTTGAATAAGTATGCTAGATCACGGTCTGTATCATTCAACTAGCTAGTGTGTTAGATTTATGTGTTTCTGTTTTTCTGTCTTTGGTTTTGTTTGGGCTAAGAGAGCTCGATAGGTGTGTATCTCACTTGGCATTGCAGTGAGAGACCAGGGCGGTGCTTTCTGGCTTTGAAATAAAGCAGCTTTTGCTAAAGTGCTTTCGTTGTTTAATTAGAATCACTGAATTATCAGTAGCGTTTATTTCAGTACTTGCTTTTCTATGCACTCTTTAGCCATGTTTTGTGTTTGCCCAGCATCTTCATTTTCATTTTACATAGCATGTGTCAGTGGTAGACATATAAACATAAGGGGCAAGACAAATATTTTGTGGTAGGCAAATATTTTTATGAGGTGGACCTAATAGAAGAAGCAACTAGACCTAATCTTAAAACAAAAATGACATTAATTCGAATGGAATGTTTGATTGATTTCAAGTTTGCTATTTGCCTATTAATTTATCAGGAATTACAATGCTATTAGTCGATATCAAGGTTTCTCAACAAAGTCAAAGCTTACAAAATGTCATCAAATTAATTCATGGATGGTTAGGTGTGCCATCAATGAAGATTATATACGCCCCACTTCTTAATTACAACTTGGCATGAAAACAATTGACAAACACCATCCTGATCTGAAGAAGAAAAAGAAAGGCATAACCCATCAACCAAGTTCATATATGAATAGTACATGATACCAATTCGTAGAGATTAACATTCATATTACACTGATATGATCCACTTCAATATGCATATATATGTTCCCAGAATTACAGGCCATAAAAAGCAATTGTTTCTAAATCACATTTGATCAAAAGGGCACATGATTTTTCGATACCAAGAAAACGTCACGAATTTGAGATCGCAGAATCTGAATCTGACAAGTCAACGCCGGGTTAGGCCTTCAAGCTTGCACTTGTACCTGTCACATAATCCCAGATTTGTCATTAGAGAAAAGAGCTCCAAAGACATGAACAACTTGTAGACACTGGTCAATACTCATGCTCTCTCCAGAATGAGTCACCTCAATATGTCTAAAATATTATGAACTCCTAAACTGAAATCTTCACATGCTTTAAGTTAGCACCATAAGCAATGTTCATTTTACTGATTTCACGTTACGAATTTTCGACAACATTCTACTGAAAATTCAGAAGCAAAATAAACACCGGCTAAGATGTAGCAAGAATCCAATGGACTGAAAACATTGATTAATTTATTGGTTGCAATTTTCTGGAAGTTAATTGTAATCCTAGCAATGTAATGAGGGAAGTGACCAGTAGAAAGAACTGGTCTATAGGGCCAGCTCCTCTATTTGAATAGTTCACATGAATCTATCAATCTGAATTTCTTTGTCTTCAGGAAATCTAAGAACTGTCAATTTCAATATTTACTTGGATTGCTAGCAACATGTGCATAAACTCACTACATCTGCCCACAATGAAAAGGAAAGAGAGGAAGCTGATTGGGACAAATAGGCCTAGTACTTTTCCTAGAATAAATACCACCACCAACCATAGAATTTTCACATTGAACATGCCATGAATTCAACTACCCAAATGAGAACAAAATGCAATTCCACTGTACACAAATTCATTTTAGGGTGGGCTAACCTTCATTGTCCCATGCATTCAATTCAAGGTCCTACTCATTCCTCTACATAAATCTAAAACAATAATATTCCATTGAAATACAAATTCTTAAAACACAAAGAGCCTAATCCATATATTCATATACATGTAGCATAATTAAGCTATGTATTAGCTTCTCACTCAATTGATTATCAGAAAAAATTTCAAATCCAAATCAAGGAAAAACCTGATTGGACCCACAAAAATCAACAAAGAACAAAGTGAACCCATTACATCAATTGCATTAAAAAAAAAAACCCATCAAGTAAATGGAGAAGAGAGGGGTGGAGGGTCAACCTGATTGAAAAGAATGTCGGTCTCTAGAGTGAAAAGGAATCGGATGTGGTGCCGAGTATAATCTTGAAGATGATGAAGCAGAGGAACGCAAAGAAGATCGAGAGGAAAACGTAATCCACGAAGACGAAGAACTCCGTTGAGCCATGGTTCCTCCTCTTTTTCTGCTTCACGATGTTGTTGCCATTTGACTCTTGGTGCACCTCTTCCACTTTCGCCATTGTTGTTTGAAGCCCAGTTGCAGGTGGTTTTGGATCTAAAGGGGGTTCCAGGATCCAGGTGCAACAGATATTTCAGATCTGGGGCTCGTTGTATAATTTCCTGAAATTTCCAGCCTGAGGACGTTGGTTATCGGCGGTTGAATCCCGCGCGCTTTGTAATGTTCTGAGGTCACGTGCCATACATGTGATATGCAACAAAGTAAATGGGCCTTTTTTTAATTATGACTAAGTATATGGGCTTTCAAGGATTATATACACATTGGGCCTTTTTGAAAAATTAAAAAGAGTCCTTTTCTGTTTTAATAAAATATATAGGGGGGTGGATAACGGATTGAACCAAACTCGAGTGCACTGGACGAAGCAATGTCGTCGTCCTAGCCAACCGGGCTGATTCACGTATATAGAAGAAAAATCCAATTTAAAAACTCATTATAAAATAATGCCATATATTTGTTACATCAGAACAAAGAGTGGTGGCTCCAAATGATTTTGACTTATTATAAACATCCATTTCATGCTTCAAACAAGATTAGATCAAGTAGTTACAAAGCTGTATCAAGTACAAGTATACAGTCTCTACAAAGCTGTAACGAGAGTTGCAGCAGCTATTCCGATCATTTTACACAACTAAAACCATCCTGAAGATGGTATTCAATTTGAGAATAAATATAGAACACACATGGTGCTAGAATTCTTTGTAACGTATACGTTTGGTCAGGGCACCCAAGAAATTCCCGCCTTCCATTAGAAGCTTACTTAACTCATTCTGCTTCCTATTAGATGGTGGTCTGCACAGCCAATGACTGATTATCTCCCCTTTCGACACGAATGTATTGAGTGTTTGGCTTCAAAAAACTTATAGAGCAGAAATGGTGGTTACAGTGTTGACGGTAGAAAACTGCCTCTCAGTACCATGTTCTCCAAATAATTTAGTCCTGCTTACAGAAGAACAGAGTTACGAATTTATTAGTTTTATTTACTTTTCATTGGACCCAAAATTCAGCGGGTTACCCTTAGGTATCTTGTAACATGTATTGAAATTCTCAAATAGGCCCTACGGTAACGGTGCTAACATGGCATACCTTAGGAGAATTGCTTGACGAAGATGCAGAATCTGCTCCAGATGATGCCTCAGATATACTGGACTCTGACTTCTCATTTGAATAACTATACAGAAAATTTCCAACAGTGAGAGAAGATTAAGACACCTCTAGATTAATACTTTGCAACCTTACCATGTGTAATAAGCATCTAAAAATATAAGAACAAAGAGGAGGCATTAAAAATATGACAGTTTACTCTACCAGGGGAGGGGTACACAAATTCTTGCCATATAAAAGAAACTAAGATCAGAGGCTTACGTTGAGAGAATAGTAACCCAAATAAGCTCCACGCAGTCCACCCAAAGAAGCCTTTGTTCAACAGGGATCAGCCCATAGGTAACCAGATGAGCAAATGGCCAGAGTTTCCATCCTGCCTGTCATGCCAGTCACAGATATAAGTAGTTTAAAATTTAAAACACACCAACTAACCTATATTGGCTAAAAACTTAAACCGTAACAAGCATTTGGATCAAATATCAGAATTATAAGAATTGCTAGCCTCCTAATGTACATTATAATCTGAAAAATGATATTCACTTTTTTCATTTCCCCCCATGATACTCATATATGCTTTTTCAGGTATCATGTTAAGCTCTGCTGGTATGACTGTATGAATACAAGTGAAAGAAACAACTACTACTTTCAGTAGGCCACATTAGCTCAAACTTCAAACCTCCTTTTCTGTTAGTCACATTTCTGTACTTTACTGGCATATTGAAGTTTTGTATGCCTGTTACTGTTATATTTATTAATAAACTCAGCAGCATATGAAACAAAACAGGCTATGATAACTGGGTTTGAATCAGATATAAGGTCAACACTAACATAACCTCAACTGTTTTTACAGAAATCTAACTCTGTGTGATTCAAAAGACACTCTTGTAATCCAGTCAGAATAATCAAAATTAAATAACAAAAACAATATAAAGACATTAAAACTGATAATAAAGAGTTAGAAGAGTTTCTTACTGTCAGCATAGGCCAAAATGTAGCCTTCAGTTCATCAAAAATCTTGATTGGGGACTCTAAACGCAAGAACCCCAAAACCACAAAATAGATGCTGTTCCAAATTGCCGCCCACACTGTTTGGTCAAAGGCTATTTTAGCAGGGACCACCCACCAATCCTCCAAAGGAAAAAGAGCCTGGAAACCCTAGTCAATATTTCAGCCATTCATAGAAATCAATCAAACAAGCCAGAGATAAGCACCAGAATCATCACCTCACAAAATTGGTAGTAATAATGAGAAAGGGATCCGTGGAAAGTAAACCCAACAAGGCCTGATCTGAACATGCGTTTCCGGTCAAATTCGAGAAGAGGCTTCCCTTCATAACACTGCATATACAATGGGAACAACTTAGAAACAACAAAAAGAAGTCATGACTGAGGTGAGATGAACTTTATCTAATGTAGTTGGAAGATAGACCTACCTGGGCAATCCAATCTCCTAGAGTATAGACAACTCCACTTATCATCATTTTGGCTAAAACAGGATTTGCTTTGAGAGCTTGTTCATATGCAATCCAATTATGTTCAGGTACATATCTTAGTATCTCATAAAGGGTCCACCCCTGAAAAATGTCTCAAAAATTAGCTTTGACATGCAAAATATTCTCATTCCATAAGGAGGAAAGAACTCAGTTTTGGTTCAGCTCATCATTCTACTAAAACAAGTTCCAAATCAAGCAGAAACTTAACCGAGTATAGGTTAAGTATTATTATTAATGATCAACTAATTCCAGAAAGAAAGATGAGAACTTCAAGCTAATCATCAACAAATAAAGACATACCCATCTCAAAGCTCAAAGTACAAAAGGAAAATAAACTTGGCCGAGTATAGCTTGGACATAAATTCTGCAGCTTTTTGCATATAAGCATCAAAACCCATGAAATCGGACGTACAGAACCACTACCATAAATTTTATAAAAAAAACAATCGTAATAAACAAAGAACAGAAACTAATATATGTATGAGATCACGTACATGCCAATAATCATGGTCAATCGTGAGCAACTTAGAGACCGCAAAGGTCCCAAATCCCAGAACAATTAAGGCATTAATAGCTCTACTGGTCAGCTTTTCCAAATCATCCCCCTCTCCTCTGCCTTCAGAATAAGCTGATGATGATGAAACAGCCTCAAATTCTTCAGACCCATTAACCAATAAGCTGCTATCTTGGTCCTCTGCATGTTTTTCCTTCAATGGAACCACCTCTCTGTCCTCTGTGACCGACCCAACAGTCGAGTTTCGTTTTTTCCGGGTCGAGAAGCCCAATAGCCATGATGGGTCGGGCTTGCTGAAGGTTTGCGTACAGAAGAGTGAAAGAAAGTTGGGTTTCTGAGATTGAGCAGCGAAAGAGGAGCTTGCGGGTGAAGGGAGCTTATGAGCTGCGATTATGTTAAGAGTAGCCATTTGGGGGTTAACAGAGATTTTCAGAGGAATTGAGAAATTGAGAAATTCAATATAAATAATGACCAAATATTACGTGGGAATTGACATGGGCTCCGCTGAAATGTTCGATCCTTTGAACTATACACATGAATCTCGATTTTTCCGTGGAAGAGAGAAAACGATCGTGCTTGCCTTCTTTACCATACATCGTACATGCTTCTACAGTTGTGCCACCGAAACTGTGTGTGTTTGTTTTTCGGCTGTGTTTGACTCTTTATTTACATATTCGAAGTTAAAAATAAAATATTGAACTGTCACATTCTTTAGATTTAGATGATTTTTTTATTAAGTTTGTTAGATTATAATTTGATTTAGTATTTTCATTAGCTACGGTGTTAATTTAATGCAGACATGTGTACAAGATTAGCAAAAGATGGTAACTCGAATGAAAAACTACAATAGATGTTTGAGTGACATTGTTGAACCCCATAACTTATGATTTTATTTTATGAGTTAGCTGGCACTTTCTAGCTAGCTAGTTAGAAACAAGACACTACAAAGTTCATGGAAAGCGGCTGCAATCTTCAGGGCCAAAACGCAATGTATTTTGGTTGAGATCATATATGAAACGGTGATGTGTTAGCTGGTATGCACCTATATATGATTGTCTCATCATTTTCTGAAGACATTGCCAAGCAAAAGTACTTCTGCTTGGAGGGTTCATCGCTTGTATCCACATAAAACGCAGCTTGAGGCTGCAGCAGAAGATCAGCACCACTCAGATGGAATGTGATTGATGGAAGATTGTTAAATCCTTGACTCACTTGTGCCATGAATGTGCCTGGACTCACTTGTGTTGGATAAGAGAATGAGTTTTTGAGTTCTCTGCGCTTGTGTGAGGTCAGGTTGGTAGAAGGGTGACTCTGGGGAGTCGCGGTGAATGAGCTAATGGTTAGCCCTTGTTTTGCATTAAACAGAATTGATGATAGAATGTAGAGAAAACGAAAATGAAGAGGATTTATAATGCAGATTGTGAACTTTTGTTAATGCCAAAGATGCCTTCAGTTCACAATATAGATTTGGTAGTTAAGAGTCAGAGTAATTAGGTGATCTTGGTTGGTCTCAAACTTTTTTTTCTTATACTAGTGGTTTGAGGAGCTGCACCCTGTAAGTTAGAAGATGCCACTGTAAGACCATCTCCAATCATAGGGCTAAATGTAGTTTAGGGTTATAAATTTAGCCCTCCGAAATATTAATTTTTTAAAGAATAGTGTATGGCTAAATTTTTCCATCTCCAGCCATGCAGAGCTATATTTTAGGACCCTTAATATTTTATTATTTTGAGAAAAACTAGGGTACAACACTCATACATTCCACTACTATGTATTGTTTAATTTAATTAAAATACTATTTAGAGACAATATTCCATATATGACATGTGTACGTTGCAAAGATGTTCATCTGCCACTCGTGACCAATTTTGTTTGAAAAGTGAAGCAATTACCAAGAACACTACAACTCAGCATGCAATTCTCTATGACAAATAATGTGTGCAGTAACAGAATTTAGTTTTGTTGGTTTTGCTAGGCATCGCAAATATGTTAGAGTTGAAATTAGTCCCACATTGGAAAACTAGAGTTCCTTGGAGGTCTTTATAAGACCTACTCTTGGAAATAGAATAGTTTGGATTAGCTATGCAAGTGGCCTAATTGAGTGGTTTGTGGGTATGGTCTTAGAGTCAATGGTTAATTAATATATATTTAATAAATCAAAAGATGCCTTGAGCCTCTTAGGCTATGTGATTTAAATTAAACCTGGTAATTAATTAATTGTTTTTTTGAATTACTTTTAAATCAAAGGCTTTGAAACATTTCCACAAAAAAAGAAGAATAAAATATTGAATTCTCATATTGATTTATTGTGAAATTTTCATTGTCTTCAATATCCGTTTTGACTATATTGAAACTAGCCAATTGAATATCAATAAAGTATAAACTAATGCAACTAGGAGGGTATTTTTGAAAAAAAAGAAAAAAAATTAACAAAAGGTAAAAGTAGTACAGCTGCACAATTGTACTGTTTCTGACACGTGGGTGGACATTGTTGATCAGGTCCTTTTCCAAAATAGTATCGCCGTGCGGCTATACTTGGGTTTTTTTTTTTGAAAAAAAAAGCACGTGGGGGCCAGGCCCTAGGCAGGTCCCTTTTTTATTTATTTATAAATAGTATAGCCGGATGACTATACTCTCGAAATTTTGTTTTTTTCCAAAATAGCGGCTATACTATATATATATCATTTTAAAAAATAAAATAAAATAAAAACTTCCCTGATTTTCCTTTATCGATAAGAGTTGTTTAGGGCATTATCAATTACTATTAGGCCATTACTCGAGTCTCTATTGTCCCTTTTGATTTGTTTACTTTGCCATAGTTTTTACCCATATAATTTTTTTTTTAGCATTTTAACATTTAATACTCGTATTAGACGTGTACATACGTATTTTTCAATAACACATCCATTTTTTGAACACGTCTTGGGCTATGTGATTTAAATTAAACCCAATTAGGTAATTAATTAATTGTTTATTTGAATTACTTTTAGATCAAAGGCTTTGAAACATTCCAAAAAAAAAAGAAGAAGAAAATATTGAATTCTCATATTGATTTACCATGAAATTTCTCTGTCTTCAATATCCACTTTGAATATGTTGAAACTAGCCAATTGAATATCAATAAAGTATAAACTAATGCAACTAGAGGGTACTTTTGAAAAAAAGTTTTTTTTTTTAATAAACGGTATAGCCGTCCGGCTATACTACGGTATTTCTTTTTAAAAAAAAGTAGTACAGCCGCACGGCTATACTGTTTCTGACACGTGTATTTTGTTGATCAGGTCCTTTTCCAAAATAGTATCGCCGGGTGGCTATACCAGGGTATTTAAATGAAAACAAATTAGCACGTGGGCGCCAGCCGCTAGGCGGGTCCCTATGTTTTTTTATTTATAGCGGCTATACTCTCGAAATTTTGTTTTTTTAAAAATATTATAGCCGCGCGGCTAGACTCTAGAAATTTTGTTTTTTAAAAATAGTATAGCCGGCCGGCTATACGATATATATATATCCTTATTTTTTAAAAATAAAATAAAAATTTCCCCGATTTTCCTTTATTGATAAGAGTTGTTTAGGGCATTATCAATTATTATTAGGCAATTACTCAAGTCTCTATTGTCCCTTTTGATTTGTTTACTTTGCCATAGTTTTTACCCATATAATTTTTTTTAGCATTTTAACTTTTAATACTTGTATTATATACGTATGTACATATTTTTCAATAACACATCCATATAAAAAATTGGCTTATTTAGCTACATGCCCCCTGTGCTTTGCAACTTGTCTCAGATTACCACCCGGGTTTTAAAACGTCTCAAAGTACCCCCCAACCTTTTAAAAATGGTCTCACGTTACCCTTTCCGTCAGGATTGTTGACGTTCCGTTACAAGCTTTGGGCCTCACTTCGTTTTAATCTTTAACCTCTGCGAATAAGGGCTTTTTCACTTTCAGATGAAGAGAGGAAATAGGGTAATTGGGTGAGAAGGAGGCTAGGGCTTATCAAAATCTGTGGTGGGGTTTGAAATTTGGGAGAATTTGGAGAAGAAATCACGGGTCGCACAATTTGGGAGAAAAGGGGGAACTGGGTCACACGATTTTGGAGGTTCAGTTGTTGTCTCTGTGAAACTAGGGCTTTTGCAAAATCTGATGTGGGGTTCGAATTTTGGAGAATCTGGAGAAGAAATCACTCTTTGGCGTTAGACTTTAAGGCTAGAAAGTGCGAAGATGGTGGTGCTTAGAGAATCTGGAGGTTGTCAACCCATATGTAAGTGGACCCATTCTCAGTCGATTTTCTTGATTTTGGCATGTGCATTGGACTATTGTTAGAGTTTTTTTGGTTTTGTTGTATACTTTTTGACTCTGTGCTGGTCTGGTGTGGCATTGTGTGGTCCCTTGTGTGTTCCTTGTCTGGTCTTTGTGTGTTGCTGGATTTTGTTTTGTTTTTTGGTATACTTTTTTACTCTGTGCTATGGCTTATTTAGATTGAACCTTACAAAGCACCTTACAAACACCTTGGTATTCAGACTGAACTAAAATCTGCCAAATATAATTTTTGTTTTATGGTGTACTTTTTTACTCTGTGCTATGGCTTATTTAGATTGAACCTTACAAAGCACCTTACAAACACCTTGGTATTCAGACTGAACTAAAATCTGCCAAATATAATTTTTGTTTTATGGTGTACTTTTTTACTCTGTGCTATGGCTTATTTAGATTGAACCTTACAAAGCACCTTACAAACACCTTGGTATTCAGACTGAACTAAAATCTGCCAAATATAATTTTTGTTTTATGGTGTACTTTTTTACTCTGTGCTATGGCTTATTTAGATTGAACCTTACAAAGCACCTTACAAACACCTTGGTATTCAGACTGAACTAAAATCTGCCAAATATAATTTTTGTTTTATGGTGTACTTTTTTACTCTGTGCTATGGCTTATTTAGATTGAACCTTACAAAGCACCTTACAAACACCTTGGTATTCAGACTGAACTAAAATCTGCCAAATATAATTTTTGTTTTATGGTGTACTTTTTTACTCTGTGCTATGGCTTATTTAGATTGAACCTTACAAAGCACCTTACAAACACCTTGGTATTCAGACTGAACTAAAATTTGCCAAATATTATAGTTGTTTTGTCTTTGTTACCTTTGTCGATTTGTTAAGTGACTCTTCCTCTTACACAGATAAAGATGCTGACGAGGTTGTTACATTTAAGTTTTTCCATGGAGGTAAACTAGTTAAAAATAGAAGGGACAGTGAATGGTCTTATTTGGGTGGTGAAGTCAGTTGGTTTGATTATTGTGAGGTTGA